ATATATAGATATAGATATATAGATATAGATATATAGATATAGATATATAGATATATAGATATAGATATAGATATATAGATATAGATATATAGATATAGATATATAGATATAGATATATAGATATAGATATATAGATATAGATATAGACATGCACAAGTAGAAAAACTGTGCCGTGATTTAGCTACACTGTCTTGAATAAAAGCGAAGACTTCACCACCAGCCACTGGCTCTGACAGGTCAGCACAGACAGTCTTCACCTGCACCAGGGATGCTTTCTGCACACCTCTTACATTGAGCTGGTTCCTACATTTACAGCTATTCAGAGCTAAAACAACACAGAAGTCATCTAAGAAAATTCACACTACAGCAGCACATTTATGGCCATCACATCTCCACCATGTGCACAGATAGCCACAGATCCTCAGGAGGAATATCAGTGCTATTAGTTAGTGGCGTTACATATAGCAACACCAAGAGCTTGAGATACCAAATATGCTGGACATTTAACAAAAATAGAATAGAAAGGCGAGTCTCTGTCCCAGAGACCAAATGACCTAGGGTAAAACCAAGATATAGATACAAAGCACAAGCAAATAAGACAGGCTGACCAGAGTGGAACAAAAGACATGCCAAAGGAGATACCACCATCTCACCATACATGGCAATCCTGAATGGGCATATCTAACCATCTTGCTTTAGACAGGAAGCCAGGAAGGGGTCAACCACAACAGAGCCTGAGCAAAGAGCCACCCATTCCCTGTTCTCCGAAATCCCACTTAAACCACTAATGAATATGGCATAAAGATCCCTCATTACTGAAACAACCAGTAGTAAGTAGTAACCCACATCAGAACTACCACATCCATCAAACCACACAGAGAACAACCCCTAACTAATGTCGCCACAATGTCCATCATGATCTTGACTTCACGATTCCTCTTATGACTGTTGGTTTGTTTAAATATCACATTTTGGGACATACAAAACAGATGGGGACCAAGACTTGTACGTGAATTATCTTGGAATCTATGAGCCCGTCCACAAGGTGATAAAGGAGGCAACATAATTAAAGAAAAATATAATTTAACATTTAAAGCATCTGCTAGATTTAAAACAGCTTGCTTTGACCTGTTAATACAAAAAGGTGTTACGAACCAGTCTTGTGTCTGCAGAAAATTCCTGGTAATAAACCCTAGTTTGAAAGAGGTGAAGACAGGAAAGGGAGGGCAGAGTTAAGGATGTCTGGGTACATACCTCACTCCTGCTGTTTCCTGACTTTTTTTTTTATATTCTGAAAAGGCTCAATCACTGCAGGTAACTGGAATTACAGTCAAATGTATTCTCCTCAATGCTTAGTTTAAACACTGCAGTCATCACCAGATTATCTTTCAGGTACTGTATTAAGTGATAAACTAACATCTGATACATGTTATTTCTCCTCTGTCCTCCAACTCAGTGGCGGAGGGTCTTGCTTTGCTTGTGTCTTCCTTAGCTGTTTTTAAACATTATAGAAAACATTGTTATATACTTAGAAAAAGGACCTTCAGTTGAACATACCTTGCACTTGGAGCAGAATATGATGAGGTTTGTGGCGGTCCTTATCTCCTAGGGTTGCCCAGGCCATGTGAAACTGGACCCTCAGAGAGCAAAGCTTCATTTCCTTGCAGAAAGCTGGTATGGTCTTTGGCACAAAGCTTTAAGCAGTATTTCTGCTACCTGAGGTAATACAGGGGGCACCCTAAAAAGAAAACAAAAGACCTCAAAACTTTATCGATATTTCCAACAGAAGCCAGCACAGAAAGAGATCACAAGCTGCCCATGCAGTGGCAGAGATGGGCTGCAGTTTCCTGGACTGGCTGGAGCCTCCTTCACTTTCAGACTCCCTATACAGGTATGATATTGATGTCAAGCCAAGACACAATGAACATCAGCGCCAAGAACAGGACTCTTCCCAGGAAGATGAGGCTGCACCTCCTAATCAGCCAGAGATGAAAAACAACAGAAAAAGAGCTAGAGAAGAGTTTATCACCAGAAGAAATTCAAGAGCACTCCTAATCCACTAACACAGCTGACCAGCTGAGGATGAGTATCATCAGTCAACAGAGCCAGCATGGCAGTGGCAGAGTCTTCAACCCTTTCCTCATGCTCTTTTGCGTTGATGGAGCTCAGAGAGCTGTTCCTCATCAATGAGCTAGCAATGTCCAAGAACCCAGCTCTCTGGAAGCAACTGGGTGTAAAAAGGTTAAACAGAACTATGGATCATCTTCACACCATGGTCACCTGAGCCTGGCTTGCCCAGCCAGGTCACCTACTGCAAGGGAGTGTGGGGCTCCAAGCGTAGAGACTGATGGGAGGAGGCAATGTCACCACTTCTCCTGTGGTACCAGCCACCCCAAAGGGCTCAGACATGACTTCAAGCTCCTTCTTCTGGCGCCACCTTAGGCTGTTGTGGAGGGAGGTCAGCAGCATCTCTGGGCAGACCTGCTCTGCCAGCCAAACCTCCAGTGAAACTGAAGCTGCATGAGCTCAGCCTTAACATTTGCCAACTTCTAATGGGCATCGAAATCCCTTAATATCTTCAAATTAAATACTAATGTTATAAGCAGTATTTCATGGGTCTACAGACTGTCACACCTCAGGGAGGCCTCAAACAGATCTAGCCCAGATTTCAAGACTTTCAAGAGAGCATGGCTCTCAGCATCGCAAGAGCCAGCCCAGTCCCTGATGGTATCTTGTATCTTCATGAGCTTTAGCTGTCGCTCTTCTACCACAATGGAAACAGCAGCATTTTTACCTGCTCAGCATCTGCGTTTTCTAAGCAGAACAGGATCCAGGTGTTTCTCAGTCACTACTAGCACTCCTAGTATTATTAGAAATGATTAAATGTATTAGCAAGATGAACTAACTGTAAGATCTCCCAGTCATGATGGATCAGCACAAGTGTCTGCAGGTTATTTAATCCCTCCTATACTGCCTTGCTCCATGAGGCAGTGTTAGCAGTTAATTAACAGAGGGATGTAAAGAATTGAAATCCTATGTATTGTAATTTGTCTCAAAAAAGTACCCAAGAAAAATACTTCCTGAAGGTTGCTAAAAGAATCCTGAAAAATAAGGTCTTTTCAAGAGTCTCTTAGGTCTCAAGATTTATAAGGAAGACAGGGACACTGGGTACCAACAGCGGTATACAGGCTACAACCCGTCTCAAAGACAGTTATAACCTGTCTCAAAGGTAGTTATATCCAAGTTACCACCTAGTAACCTGTAAACTGTACTTGAAACATTTATCTTTAAAATTAAAATTACAAAATCAATGCAAAATTCCCTTCGCCTTTTTCCCCTCCCTATGAAGAATGGCCATTGAGAGTGCTATGGCAGATGAAAAGCCAGTACTTTTATTTACCAGTCACACTAAGCTAGGAGCTAAAGAAGGTCTTATTTCCAGATCTTCAACACTTGCACTTACAACATAGAGGTAGTTGGTGAGAAGCTTCGAAAAGCTTTTTTTCCTGTCTAGCTGTGTTGGTTGCAGCCACCAGACCAACCCCTCAAAGATGGCAGCCTACAGAAGTCACTGTTGTCATTTCCAGCCATGTCAAGCAGAAGTACTACAAGACCGTCTACCATTTCTGTGAAGCTCTGAGGATCCACCTGCCGTAAGGGCTCTACTGTCCTACACTGTGACCAACCGTACAAAAGGCAGCGTCTGCCCTGACATATTCACAGATGAAAGAGGCAAGAAGAGTGGAAGGGAAGGGAGGAGAAATGACTTGCCAGGGACAGAGCCCCCAGATCCTACCCATGGCCAAGCACTGGGAAACCCATCGTATCTCCGAGCCACTTCTAACAAGCAGGACTGGTGGGTCTTAATACTAACTACCCTAGAAAACATTTCAAGACAAACTCCTCACTGCTTCAGCAGCTCGGACAGCAAAAAGCAGCATCTTCCTTTCCCTCTGAACCTCCTCATCTTAATCACATTTATTTACTCATCTTGTGCATTCATGAAAGCCTCCTTCCGTCTTGATCCACAAATGGAGACTTGAAACTCAGCTTTCCAATTTTTGCCCGTTTACCACAGAAACATGGAAGTCTGAGGTCTCCAGACCAACCTTCCAGTTTGTAAACAAGGCTGATTATCTTCTTCTGTAACATCAAATACATGTACTTTTTTTGTTAGTATTTTTATATATGAAAAATTTAGAGCTTTGCCCACCCCACCCCCAAAAGCAAACTGAGAAAAACCAGGGACAGATGAGAGATACCTGTAAATCAAATAATCCAACAATTCACATGACAACATGGCTGTCTAAAACCCCTGAGCACCATCTCAATTTCCTTTGCTGTAGCACGAAGCTCTCAGCCTTTGCTCCCCACATGATCATTTATGGGAAAGTGTATTTCACACTTTCCTACTCTTATGAAGGAGGAAAAAAAACAAACCAACCCATTATTATTTAAATAGAGATGGAAACATTACTAAATATTTCCAAAAGAATGTATGGTAGCTTTTTGCTCTGCATGTTAAATTAGAGGTCATTGCACTGATAGGTGTGACTACCTATTTACAACATCAGCTGAAGCATAAAGGGGTTTTGGTACATCACGTCTAGAGACTGCTATAGCATGACTACATTATTGTAGACAATAAACTTTATGCTTGCAACACAGCTAATAATAATAATAATAATTACAGTGATGACGACGATGATGATGTTACTGTACTTTAATATTAGCAAAGAGAGACCCATACTAGACTTTTTTTCCATGCAGAAGAGATGTAACGTAAAGGGTTCGAGCACAGCCTGGGCTTTGGCCATTGTTCCACATCCCACATGTTCAGGCATGAGCATACGGCTGCTGTTTCCATCACATAAACCAGCACACACGACGTCACGTGTACGTCAGCACTGCACCACCGCCAGGGACAGCCTTACCCAATCCAACACCAAGTTGCAAGGACAAGGCACCTGGCTGAAAGCTGGCCAGGAAAAATCACCTTTCCTAAACCTACACAGGCAGTAACGCTCCAGCCTCTGGCACCGCTCCTTCCTCACACAGCCTGCATGCCCCTTTCACTTGTGCATTCAGGGCTCGCTCCCTATCTGGGCAGGGAACCACACAAGGCAATGCAATGCATTTTACTTTGACTGGGATTTTGCTCAGCCAACATTCTCAAGAACAGATGGTTGCAATATGATCAAATCTAGGCCTCAAAATGCAAAGTGTTAATAAAGAGTCACAGGTTGTTGCTTTTTAAAAAAACAAAACAAAACCAGCTAAACTCCTAAACTGGATTTTTCTTCTGCTTTCTAAGTTACTGGCAACAGCCCCCCAGCCCCAGCTGAGATTTATACAGGACCTCCCAGGATGCTGCCCCTGAAGCATCAATGAAAAGATCAAAGTTTCAGTTCTCCTGACTGGAAGAAAAAAAGCGAGGCAAACAATCTCTTAAATCCAGCTGTTGAGACTTCAGGAAAGGCACAAAATGTCCTGAAGCCAAAGGCAAGCAGTATATAAGTGAGCAGCAGAGAGGCTGGCCCATGCCTGCTTCTGGACAACTTTGACCCTGTAGGGTTTGCTACCTTGCAAAAATCCCCTGATGCAGAAGAGCTTACAGCAGCACTGATGTGATGGCTTCTACCAGTGCAAGGAATCAGGATGCTGCATCCACACCAAAGGCATTACCAGTACAACACACCCCTTTAACCAATTCAATTCCACCAGTAAAGCCAAAGTGCAGACCAGATATCCAACCAGCAGTTATCCAGGGAAGCTGGGCAGCAAAGAAAGAGTGGTCAGAGAAAGCCAGGGAGAAGTGCACTGGACCCCACCAGCTGGATGGAAGATGATGGTGGGTGGTTAGGAGGACTGGACCAGAGTTTTCCACCTTAAAATCCCTGCACTGGCCTGCTTCAGAGCCTGGGTGTTCCCAGCACAACTCACATCATGCTGAGGGCCTCAACAAGCTGCTTAATAAACCACATGAGAGGATGTGGTCTTGCCTCTCCCACCCACCTCTGCTCCCCACCTGCCCCTAAGGAAGCAGCCTGCACCTCTGGGCACTGCTCTTGTGGTAGGGACTGCAAACAGGGAGAGCCTTTTGGGGCTTCCTTTATGCTTCTCTGTCATTCATGCCTATCCCTCAGACAGGAGCTGGGTTCTGGGCCTGGACAAGCCCCCAGCTTGTAGGTGAGAACCCCGGTGATGCCACTCTCTCCCCTCGGGAAGCTCTCAAAGTCCTGCAGCTCTTGGCCACGCAAATGTTTCGGCACTGGATATTCCTGACCGAGGCATGCAGAAGAGGTGACAAAACAACCGTCTTCCAAAACATCTCATGGCAGTGACACCCTCCCATGCAAACACAGTCCTTCCACAGCTCTGGGCTCCTCATGCCCCATCTCAGCTCAGCCCATTCTCCAGCAGTGCAGGTCAGCTCCCATGGCCCGCACAACCCAACCTCATAGCGGGGAGCAAGGCTAAAGCTCCCCTCTCCTGTCAAGGGACTTTCTAGTGAGCTGATCTGTAGGAACCTACACAGTAATACTTATATAAAACTACTGATTTTCCTGACTCAGGCTTTAAGGCAGTGTGCTGGGTTTGTGTGGCAGGTTTTTGTGGTAGCGGAAGACAGGGCTACAGTGGTGCCCCTTGTTAGAAGCTTCTGGAAGCTCCCTCAGCTCCAAGTCAGACCCACCTCTAGCAAGGCTGAGGCAATTAGCAATGGTGGCTGTGC